AGCCTTTTTCATTTCATTCACCGTCTCTTTAATGGGATTTTTAATCCAAGATTGATCTGATTTTCCCAGGACATCATTTTGTTTTGTATTTATTTCTTTTTAAGTTTTTTCCATTTTCTCAATTTTCTGATATGGCGGGGTTTGGGGATTTTTTTCCAAGAAATCAGTCATTGTTTTTTTGTGTTTTGGGATCAGAGTCTTTATGTTGCTGCATTTGCTTTTCAGCCTTTTTCTTTTTCCTTTTTTGTTTATTAAGCAAGTGCACTGGCACTAGTGTCTAATTCGCTAGTCGTTGAAGAGTATGCCCTTTTCTTTTGATCACTCATCGTAGTACTATGTATACTATGTACAGTGGCTTATTTATTGTCCCGCTTTACAGGATTTACCGGTAATTGGCCGCGCCACTGGAGCATGACGGATCTTTGATCATATGTTCACCAAACAATTTGAATTTTCCAATACTATCACCCCAACCCCTTCTGAATAGGTGAAGCGAAAAGTTTTTGACTACTACAAGCACATTTAACAATTTCAATTTAAAAATGTTTTTACCAAAATAGTGTCCGAAAAATGGACCAATATACCCGTTATTACTTTAATCGATCATCCTCTCTATATGGTCCTATTTCACAAATTTTCTCTCTATCTCATTTTTGTGTTTACACTTTTTTCAAACCGGAAGTTCAAAAATTGACCTTCTATTTAGGATTGTTCAGATATGTAGATGCCGAGGGAATGTCATTTGAACAATGGACGGATGGACACCCACTTACTTACACTGCTTGGTAGGCTTAACTTTCTGTTGGTGTAATTATTAAATGCATCAATAATTTTACACGTTATCACAACACACTGATTATTATTTATTCAAGCAACTTTTGATTACTTTACGATATTAAAAATTGAAGCATTTTTATCGATTTGTAGGGCATCAAGTTAGAATTAATTGGTCAATGAAAATTGACTTTCGCGAACACATACTTAAAAATATTAAGATACATATTGAATTTGTTTATCATTTGAATATTAAAATACACAAGTGTTATTCCCATTAAAGTTGACAACGTTCTCGCTTGTGACATAAACTTTGAATAAAAAAGTTATCCCATTTCTTACACATCTTATATATGAATAGAGAATCTATTTACAGGGAAAAGTATCAGCCGGAGGATATTGTTAGCAAAACATGTACAATTATGGTATGTAATACGTATACTAGTATGAGAACTCCGTGTGTCTGGAGAACTGTGTCATGTGACCACAAGACCAGTTATGTCGTCTGTGAACGCCAACATTTTAATGATTCTGTTTCACATGGTAAGTATTCATTTAAGATAAAAAAAATCGAAAAAACTTCAAAAGGCGATACATTATTTCTTTGAATGAAAACAACACGAGAATCAATAAGTTAATGAGGGCTTGTAATTATTTTTTTAAGTTACTCATACAATATGATACATAGATCTACATGTATATACGGAAACACTATGTTAATGTCATTATGCTTAAACTACAATGTATTCATCAATTTGCAACATGTAATGGACCCCAATGTTCTGTTTAAGAGAACAAAAAATATAACAATAGTACGTACGACATAGGGTAAATAGAGAACATGATCCGATATCATAAATATTTATATAACAGATAATAACATTTTCTAGAACAAACTATTATTATTCATTAATGTTCGTTCTAGGTCACCAAAAACTTAATCAATATTTATTTTTTCAAACAACTTCTTTATAAGAATTCTCAAATGATACATTTCTATTGCTTTTATCAATACATTTTTTGTATTTGAAAAATTGATGCAGATTGGAATACTCTATTGTAGACTTATCCACTTTAGAATGCACATGTACAATTATTTAACAAAAGTATGTGATCTCCACAAAGTTTAATACCTGTAGAGACTTTGTTTAAGTTTAACTGACATGAAAGTATTTATTGTTTGCCTTGCATGTGTGTCACCAAAATACAACCGTCATTGAATCAACAATTTTGGAATGCACTCGAGGGAAAATAGGTTTTAAAAAAAGAAGAAAAAAAAAGTTCAAAAAAACAACAACAACAAAACATTTCACATAAACTTTGTAATTTTATAATCTACATATTGTTCTCTGTTCAATGCTGCAGGCATGTTTTTATTACAACATATTATACCTACTATATACATGTAGATGTGTATCAAGATAGTCTCTCAAATTTCTAGAATTAGGACAAATTGAAGTTGATATTACTGAGCCAGGACAGAACATGAATGGCTTTTTGGAAGTAATGACGTCATGCTCGTGCGATACTTCACAAATATATATGACGTGGTATTACAGTAAAGTGAGTGTGTAAAATTGATTTTAATAAAATGAATAAACATAAATAAATGTGATTAATAAATGGAGAAAATTTTGTGAAAATTAAATTGTCCAAGGCATTATTGTTATTTAATTTTGAAGTAAAATGACATAATATTGATTAGGCATTAAATGTTCCTACACTTATAAGCATATGAAATTACATATTATACAAACATACATAGAACAATTATATAGTTGACAAACAATTACATTGTAAAAAAGTATTTTGTAAAAATAGCTTCTAAAAAATTCAAAAATTTTCAAATTAATAAGTAAAATAGGGAATTTAAATTTTAAAATTTTCACCCTAAAAAAATTTCTTTCCCTTTTTAAAAATTTTTGACAGTTTGAAATGTATTTCAAATGAAATGCATTGTATTTAATTAATGGTATTTTAAACAGTCTTCATAAGATAATTCACAAGCGTTATAAATGTTTGCGTTGTAAGTGTCCGAGTTTCTCGCCAATCATTATACATATTCAATAGTTTAAGTGTTTTGATTTTTTTATTATGCAATTTGAATTTATTTTTCATTTTTTTATTATGTATAAACAAACTTTAAATATTTTAGGAATACTTGTTTAGGCCTGAATACCAAAACATAAAACTACACGGGTTTGTAAAATATATTTACAGGGAAATCGTAAAATCCTGTTAAGAGAGAACGAACAACCTGGTTTTTATATGAACAATTCTCAATGCACTAGCCATTGTCTAAACAACACATCTGCCACCGGATTTTACTATAAACGACCGGATGACGGACTTAATGTTTCAATAACGGTGGATGTCATGTACCGAAATTCTCAATATCCAATCAAAACTGTGACGTTCTCAAATATATATTATTTATTTGGTAATATCCGATTAAAAAGATTCTTTTTAACGTTTTAAATTGAATTGTATGTTTATCATTCGTCATTTTTTTTTACTTTTTCACAATTTTATCAATGAAAACAAAACATAACGGAATGTTAAATAAAACAATGAAACGTTATGTTCTTCGAAAGTAAAGTAATGTTGGAATGGTAGACCTTCCTGTATGCAAACATGGTCTCAAATCGTATCAAACGCCATCATCTAGTAGAAATTTCCTCATTTTCACCACATTCTAAATCTTTATTAATTTCTTGGTAGTTGTAGAACAACAATCCCAGTCAGAGAGTTATACTCTTGTCATCTTTTTTTTAGTTTTGGGAAAATGGGGGAGTTTGTTGGTATCGTTGTTGGCCGGGTGGTTAAGGGGGGTAAAATGAAAATTTTCTAAAACGGCCCCCTGGTTTGAAACGGGATTGTAAAAAGTTATTAATTTCCATGAGGGAATGTAATGATCCTTGCTCTTAAATTTTAGGTTTTTTAAATAGAGAACAAATTTTCAAGAAAAAAAGGTAAAATCGCTTTTAAAACTAAAATTGCCCAGTGGGGTTTCGGGGTCAAAAAAAATTGAAAAATAACAATTTCTAATAAATCAAAAGGAAAATGTTTTGCGAGAAATGGGAATTTAAATGGTATTTTGAAAGACGAAAATTAAATGCGTTTTTCGGGAAAATTTGCAAATGGTTATTGTTCATAACCAACAAGAAATCGACATTATACATTACAGCAGTTAAAAACATAGGCTTTTAGGATTTCCATTGTGCTGTATTGGATTACACTTATACATTCTTCTTATGTGTGTATTTTGTAGGTGAATGTGGACAGAATATGTACAAGTGTAATGATGGACGCTGTATTCATCTTTCACAATTGTGTGACTACATCAAAGACTGCGTGGATACTTCGGATGAATATTGTGGTAACCTTTATGTTGTCTTGCATTTCGTATGCATCTACAAATGTAGTGATAATAGAAATAATTCACATTTAACTGATTAAAAATATATGTATCTTAATTAGCATATGTTAAACTTTTTTTTCTTAAGAGTTGTTTGGTCGAAATTTGATCGTAATGACCGTTTTTCCAAAGCTGTTCAACTACTGGAGCATTCTAAAATGTTGAAGTTATGTATTTGTACATTGTATTTCAGATTATCCTTTATGCGATGGCGAGACTTCCTTCCAGTGTGAAAGTGGACCTTGTATACCTTTATATAAAAGATGTAATGCTTATAGAGACTGTTCTGATGGAAGTGACAAATTTTTTCCTGTGGTATTTTACAAGGGTCCAAATACTATAGAAAATTCCTTTAAAGGTGAAATAAGTTTTAAACCTTTTAAAATTTTGTATTTGGGGGGGGTTTTTTTTTGTTTTTCGAAAAAAACATTTTTTTTAAACCAATTTTTTCTGAACCATTATGAACCTTTTTTCTTAAAATTCCCCTCATTTTAACATTTCCCTTTTTAAATTTAAAAATTTTATTTAACTTAATTATTTTACAACATTTAAACTTTAATTAAAAATTGTACGTTTTAAAATTAGGGTGGGAACAATTCCCTTTTACAATCTTCCCCCAAAAATTTACAGAAATTTCATTTTTTTAACTCAACTATTTTTTAGAAATTTTTTTATTCCCAAATTTTTTTATTCCAAAATTTTATCAGAAATAGAAAACACAAAAACGGCGTTTAATTTGGTCGGGGAAAAAAACCGGGGGCATATCTAAAATGGTTTTTTGCTTGTTGGGTTGGAAAATTTAAAAGGAATGACTGCCCGGGAAAGGGTTCTGACAAGAAATTGTAATACTTTTACATATAAGACATGTGATGACGTGTGGTCTAGTGGAAAAACTAAATCCGGAGTATATATTATGGGTAAAAATCCTTGACAGGAAAATAAATTTATAAAAAAAAAAACTTCCAAAACTGAAACTCTTAAGCGAGAATGCATTTGTTGATTACAATAGGCAACCAAGTGATTCGTGTCCAGAAGATATATAAACGATGTATTATCTAATCCCTTGTCACAAATTGTCAACTCGAAACTTGTCGTTAAAAACAACAAAAGAACAATTTATCAAGCTGGTTGCAGGTAGTTCTTCACAAAGTTTGTAAATGGGGTTTCTATAAGTGGCAAATTATTTATATGTGATTTTGCTATGCATCATCTCTTTATCTTTGTACTTATTTGGTGATCATCATTTTTAGACGGTACAGGTGTGATGTGTGAATTCAAGAAAGGTGCTACAATCATGACAGTTTTACATCCCGATTGGGAATGCAGGGAAAGAATATATTTTGATTTTGTATGTATTTCACTTTTTTCTTAGTATTATAAGACGCCCCTATAATAATAATCTTTTTATTATTTTTTCGGGCCCCAACATTAAGGTTGACCCAATTTATTCTTCCCGTCCAAATAATCAGTATGAGTCGGGTAATCAACCGTACTGACCTTACAAAATCTCTTTTGCATATACATATATATACTACTCAATTGTTGGTAAGCAAGTTGATTTTTATATTATCACAAGTATAAAACAGATTTCTTTCCAATTTTGAAAATTCTGATTCAGCAATGTTTTAAGATAGTCTCCTGACATGAATCCGTGTTGTCTAATCCGTTACAATCGTTTAGGTAGCATGGCAAGCATGCATCCCATTATTTTCATGTTTTTGATGGAGTGTACAATCACATGTCTTTTGTTATACGGCGACATTCTCGGCTTTTTGTCATTCAGTGGCCTACATTTCTTACATCTGTCACTTCGATATGGCGAATGTTAACGGCATTTGAGAGAAGCAGAGTTATGGAGGGATGCAGGGATGGTGCACCAGGGGGCCACCTTCCGCCAGATTGATGCACGCTTGGTGTACACTACACCGTAATTATCAGAGCCTGGGAGAGATAGCGACTACATGGTACCCGCCAGGAGGCATGCTGGAGGTCGGCAAAGGGTCACAACACCAGCTCAGGATCAATTTTGGTCGTTCAGGCACGTCGTACAAGGTTTATGACAGCAACTTCACTTACAATATACCTTGCAAATGCTGCGGGGATCCGTGTGTCCACGCAGACGGTACGTAGAAGGCTGCATTATGGTAATTTTTAGTCGAGAAGATCTTGCAGACGTATCCCCTTGACGCATTGACAACGCCGTTTGGAATGGACCATGGAGCATACACAGTGGACCATGCAACACTGGAGACACGTTATGTTCACTGATGAGTCCAGGTTCTGCCTTGACTTCACATGCGTTCTAGAGTTTGGAGAAGACGAGGTGAACGGTTTCATGCTGCAAAAATTACTGAGCATGACCGCTACGTAAGTGGGTCAGATATGGTGTGGGGTAGCATCAGCTGGGATGGACCTAGTTGTGCTCAATAGAGGCACACTGACATGTCAGCGATACATAGACGACATCATAGATAGCCAGCTTAGGTTGTATGCTGGAGCAGTCGGCAATCAGTTCATTCTAATGGACGATAATGCTCGCCCCCATAGGGCCAGGCTTGTCCAGGACTACCTAGAGAGGGAGTCTTTTGAGCGCATGGACTGGCCAGCTTGCTCATCTGACTTAAATCCAATAGAATACATGTGGAATGAGCTGGATGTTAGAATTTCAGCTCGTCAGCCTCAACCAAGAACAATCCAGAAGCTTGGAGCCATGTTGGTCCAACAATGGGCAGCAATACTCATTAGAATGACCAGAAACCTAATAGGGAGTATGAGAAGGCGCTTCCAAGCTGTCATTGATAGTCACGGGTCACACACACGGTATTAAGTCTAAGCTGTTAAAGTGGCATTATGCTCATATTTTCATAGTCAAGTTGAGCTGAATTGACTTTATATTTCAACAGATTAACTGACAAAATGGTGTTTGACCAATAGTTGATATTGGAAAATGCTTTGAATAAAATTATAAATCTGCCTAAAATTTAAAAAGACTGCCCCACTCTTTTTATAAACTGAGGTTTACATGTAAATTCTAAGAGATATTTACAGAAATTTCGTTGGGATCTCTGCGTTATTTATTGTTTATGTGAACTTAATTATTAAATGAAAAGGGATTATAGCAAAATGAAAACTTATTTTGATATTCACCCGTTCACTCATTATATACCCTTGGATGGGCATAATGTCAAAAAATCCAATTTCACAAATTTTGAAAACACGCTTCAGGTTTTGAAATCTTCAAAGAAGGGGATCATCCTCTTCTCTAGCACAAAATCAGTGTTACTCATTTATAGGGTTACATTCGTCCTTCAGCTGAATTGATAAAACAGTAAATCAACATTTAAAATCTTTCGCACGCGTTAATAAAAGTATCCCAAATAATATTCACACTCAAACATAGGATGTTTAGCAAAAGTTGAGTAGTATAGAAGGCTTAAATATACATACTCATACTTTTCAAGAATTTATGATTTCAAAATAGCAAGTTGTGGTAATACCCTAATCGATGGTCCCTTTTTATTGTATTAAAGAAAGGTTGAAAAAAGATAGATGATTAGGATAATCTTAGATTACAGTTTCACATTGTTCGAGTTGAAAATAAACTTTTTTTTGATTATTGTTTTCTATTTCAATTAAAAATATATAAGTACCTGAAAATGCTTCTATGTACGTAACCGGTTCCTCAAATATGTAATATAGGTTAAGGGTCGAACTAAAATAAAAATGTTTTAACCAAATATGTTATATAATGAACGTCTACGTCTTCTTTATCTTCTAGCTGGGTGGAGACAGGAGTGGTATACTGATACATCCAAGAACACTTGTATACAATGCCGGCAATGCTGGGTATACATGTAAGCAAAAGGTATATCTTCATACTTTACTTAAACCAATTGTAATATTTTTGTGAGAAAGATTCCATGGGAGCATTGATTTCAGTATTTTCAAACACATTGCAAACTGTTTAAAATAGAAAAAACAAAATCCGTAAAGAAGTTCTAATCTGCAAAATTGTTGCAGACTGGGTTTTACAGAACCTGGTCATGGACGGTACTGAAAAATGCAACGTACCTTTACGCCCCCCAGCACCGCCTTAATCAGATTTCAGAAATAAAAGATTACATGGTTAAATTTTGGATTTAGAAACATTCGAAGATATGTTAAACCTGTACCGGCGGCTTGGAAAATGTTACACTGTATTTTAATAAAACAGAATCTGTTGGTTTCATTACTCTTCATTCTTATAAAGTCAAAAGGGCCATGATAACTTTGAGGCGCTCACTTGATATACATTGCCAAGGAAGTTCACAATTCTTCAATGCAGAATCAGGTCTTATTAGGATGTCATGTTTGATCCAAGCTACAAAATTTTCATTTTGATTTAGGAAATAATTGCATACAAAATATCAACCTCTTGGAATTGTTAATTCACATAAGAAGACTGTATAAAATATACAGAATCAAGATTTATCTAATTTTTGTAATTGCCCTCTAAGTAATGGTGTATGCCTATTTTGGTAGTAATCTACAAATACGTATGCCAAAAATACAGGCTCTGGTAATTTGAGTCGCTACGAACAGGCTTTTTTGGACATTTTACTGGTAGTGGCCGATGTAAACTTAATTACCCAAGGTCAGGGCAATTTTTACCCTAGGAACAGAATAAATGAACTTCGGCTATGCTACATACCGAATTACTAAGCAAGAAGATGTTTTCCTCGTGCAAGACTATAAACTATTTTCCCCAGGGGCAGGACCAAGCATGAGTCTTTACTTTTGCCATATATCTTAGCACTAGGCATTACAGTTTATGAGAAGAAGTTTTTAAGACATTTTAACTATACAAGTGTAACCTATGTGACCCCCAGGTTGGGGCAATATGCATAGGCCTTTTAGGCAATGCTTCATGCCTCATATCTAAAACCTCAATATTGCAAACTGAAATGTAGTTTTCTATGCCCCTCGTTTTTATTTCTTTGATTTACCCCCACCCTCCCCCGGTCATCTGTCCCCTTCTCCTGTGCCCTTTGACTTTGTGGGCTTATTATTCAATCCTTTATTTGTTTTCTTTGTATTCCTTATGAGTTAAAAATGATTTCCTATTTTTCAATCATTTATTTGTTTTCTTTGAATTCCTTATCAGTTACAAATTATTTATCATTTTAGTGATTAACCTGTCCGTGCTCTGTCTTGTGCCATATCCTGTTTTTGTTTTGGGGTCCGCCTGGGCTCCTTGCCACTGGTTCTTGTTGCTGGGTCGTAGGGGGGGATGCGTTCATTGAACGCCGCCTTTCCTTGTTGATCTTGATTGTCATATTGTAAATTTTAAAGCTTAATTGTAGCTCCTGTGACCTTCTTATGCACCAGAACAGAACCATTTATTAAACATCTGTAGAGGGCAACCCTGGTGTATTTCCTGTCAAATTTGGTCACATCCACTGAGTGGTATAGGATGGTGTTTGGCATCGTTTAAGAAATTGTGGATCACGACGGAAAACGGACAAACTGTCATCACAAAGCTCACTCTGAACAGCACTTTGTATTCAGGCGGGTTAAAAACATATGAATCGAGCAACCTCATTCTTTACTTTATAATTTGTACAAGCTACAAAAATAATACAAATCTATTCGTTAACAAAAATTCATTAAATTATACATGTACAGAAAGGCCTTATTAAAGAAATAATAACCTTATGTTTACAAACATTGGAATCATTTATGTTTCAGGTATCTAGGGTTTATAAAAGATTTGAGAGAGTGGCCCGAGAGGCAGATGGAGTTTATAATTCAACTTCGGATACAGTAACAATTGAAGTAGACTATAAATATGATGACAATCATCATGTAAACAGGTAAGATAAAAAGCACCATGTCAAAGTTTGTAACTCAATATCGTAACTCTTTCCACTTGGTAATGAGATAGATTTGTTAAACATAAACTTACCTTGAATCGAAGACCTTTGTAGTCTTGTATGAAACATCCTTGCCGTTGACAATATTTCATCACAACTGACAAAATAAGTACCTGCCACATCACCTGCAGCAGCAACAACAACAACAAAAATATATAATTGAAAAGTTGTTATAGTCATTTACTCGTTTTGATGATGTTAGAATATCTGTATATCTACTTCCAGTTTTAATTATATCATGTGGCAACCAGACTTCATCTTTGGAGTCGAAAATATGACAGTTTTATCATGGACAAAAATGGATTTTGCTAAATATACGTATGACTTTGGAAAGATTAGTTGTGTAAAAGGTAAGTAAATGCATGTATAATATCTGCGTAGACACACAACTTGAATAGTTATTGAAACTTAATCCGGTGCTTATTGAAATAGATACTAATTAAAATGTAGATAAAATTTATATTGCATTTTACAAAGTTCAATTACATAGATTTTGTTTAAACACTAATAAATCATCAATGTATCATTATAATGGTATAAGGGCTGATGTGTGTTATAAGTTTATGAGAAAAGGTATCATAAAAGTACTGCTGAGTTTTATTTGTTTCTTACCTAGCTGTAGAAGCGTTCGGTGAAACAGCAAGTGGCGTCATACCAAAAAATAAGAACAGTTTACAGTAAAATAAGAATTATTTGTTGCATTGACATGCTTAAACAGTAACATTATCATCTCCCTTAAGCTTTGCTTTACGCTAGGTTTGTACATTAACATAATTATGAAACGTCAGGTTAAAAATAAACATACTCAGGAAAAGACCTTTATAAGCATTTTATGCTTTTGGATCTGTTCATTTTTCCAGAATTATTTTGTCTTAATTCATTACTGTGTGCAAATCTTGTGTGTGCAAAATGTTTGAAACAAAATAATTTTAAATTAAAAATATACATACACGTGCCATATTTTACGTAAGTGCTAAAACTGCACAGGATAGTGTAATGACGATACAACACGGAGAGATATATAAATACATGTAGATGGTCTCCCATTAGTTTTTGGTTAGAAAATAGTTGTGTCCTGACTGAACGTTGTTTGATGGACAACCCTCAAAGCTTGTAATGAAATGGATTTGTGTTTTGTATATGTAGAAACAATGAGAGAACCAACAAATCAGTTGTCCTGTGGTGAAGGAAATGTTCAAGTCGCTCCAGTATCGAAGAAGTGCATTTATGAATTAGACGAAAAAGGAAAATCACTCGGATGCAAATCAGTGGAACACCTAACAGATTGCGGTATGTTTGTCAATGCCAATTTATTGTTCATTTTAATTCTTAACATTGATATATTAAAAGGCATTCTACAAGAAAAGATGAATCTTTCGATAGCTTTAAAACAAAGCAATTTTTACAGTTTAATTCGAATTAAGAAGGCAGGCAAGTATACTAGTATACGGTATTATAATTTTAATTTCAAATATAGATGCTTCGGAATAAATAATAGCTGTATAAGTACACCGTCGAATGGCTTACATGGTAGTTGTATCTGTTTTATAGATTATAGATTTTAAGTAATAACTTTATCTGTATAGTTTTTGTTATATATTTGTAACTTTAACTGTATATGATATTTAGAATTTTAGCTTTAAATTTGTAATTTTAGCTAGATACATTTAGCTGTGATTTAAACTTTATATCTATAATCTAAGCTATTAATCTGCAATCATTATTATTTTTAGCTCGACTTTTCTATGAAAAGGGGAGCTATCCTACTCGCCCCGGCGTCGGCGTCGGCGTTGGCGTCACACCTTGGTTAAGTTTTTCGTACCACCCCACTTTATTTCAGAAGTATTACAAGTATGGCTTTGAAACTTACCATACTTGTTCACCATCATAACCTCCATGTACAGACAAGAGTACATAACTCTGTCAAGGTTTTTGACAGAATTATGGCCCTTTTTTGACTTAGAAAGTGTATTGAGCTTGGTTAAGTTTTTTGTACCACCTCACTTTATTTCAAAACCATTGGAGGTATTGCTTTGAAACTGACCATACTTGTTTACCATCACGACCTTCATCAACAGACAAGAGGACATAACTCTGTCAAGGTTTTTGACAGAATTATGCCCCTTTTTGACTTAGAAAATACATTGAATATGGGTAAAATCCACTTATTGCCTTAACCCTTTGAGATATTGCTTTGAAACTTTTAATGCTATTTCACATCATTACCCCCATCTGTACGCAAGAGAAGGTAACTCTGTCAAGGATTTGTTTTAAAAATTAAGGCCTTTTATCGACTTAGAATCTTGGTTAAGTTTTTAGTACCAGTCCACTTTTTGACTGAACTGTTTGAGATATTAATTTGAAAGTTGGAATACTTGTTTACAATCATGATTCCCAAACATGTCCAGGAGAAGGTAATTCTGTCAAAGATTTTATTTGAATTATGGCCCTTAACTGTCAATGTTTTGTATTATAGGCAAGCACTGACAACATCTAAAAAAGCTTGATAAAATTTATCTATTACTTGTATTATAAGGTAACTATAATACTTTCACATACAAAGTCAAATCTATATATTATGCTGATTGTACAAAAATATACTGCTTCCTTGGCATAGATTTCTTGAAAAATTATGTTATTATGTCATTTACCAAGGTGTTCTGAGTGACGTAAAAATACCTTATTCTCTCAAAGTGGGTTTAATACTATTAAATTTATTTAAGGCTCAACTCAGTTTTTTTTTCTTTCTTACCAGCCCTCTTTTGACTTAAACATTTCAAACTTTGCTGCAGTGTTCAAGGGTATCACACAATTCAGTAAAATAATTCTTCACTAAATATCTTAATGCTCATGGCCATTGTTCACTTTAAAAATACAGAGATTCTTGTATTGCCTTTTACTGCAAAAACTTTTTTTATTGGCAAGCAATAAAAAAGTCGAGCGCGCTGTCTTACGGACAGCTCTTGTTATATCTTTGAGTTTAGCTTAAATGTGTAGTTTTAGCTATCTGCAATTTTAACTCTATATCTATAATTTTAGCTTTATATCTGTTATTTGATCTAGATCTGTAATTTTAGCTGCATATCTATAATTAAGCTATATATCTATAATTGTGACTATATATCTAAAATTTAAGCTTTAAATCTATATTTTAGCTATACTGCAGTATATCGGTAGGATTAGAAATATGTCTGATTTATTTTTATACTATCTATGTTCTTCAACTACTTATATACTTCTTATTTGATTGATATCTTTGTTATTTATGTCTCTCTTTTTGTCTCATTATACCATTTTAAGTACAGTATTATATATCTGAAATTTTAATTAATTATATAAATATAATTTCATTTATATCTTTTAATTTGCAGAAACGTTTGTATGTAATGATGGCTACTTCAAATGTCCCAAAAGTTTTTGCTTACCGGATAAGTTTGTATGTGATGGTATTAAACACTGCTCGGACAATGAAGATGAGCAGGACTGCCAGTGTTAGTGTGTTTTGCATCACATTAATTTTTAGTGATAGACACTTGATCTTAATCTTCAATTACTTAAAATATAGCGTGAAGTAAGATCACTTTTAGAAGAAGATAATGTGCTATTGAAATATATTGCATAAAATATAACCTTTTGTTACACGCATTTTTATTTCCATTTTCCAGAGATACTTTTGCAAGCTATTTATGTTATAAAAATAATAATTGTTTAAGTGACAACTGTTTTAATAATCTTAAGTTAGAAATAATATTTAATTGATTACTTCTATTCAATCTATCTGTACAGGGTGTTCGGCGCCAAAGGGTGATATGGTTTTTGCAGGAGTTCAACATGAAAAGGGTCTTGGTAGTGCTGAGTTACAGTCAGTGTTTCGACTTGCGTCTCTATTCCGCCCGGCTAGTTATGTTGTTGTGCTATTCGAGACAGTTCCTAAAACTGTAAGCCAAATAGTGTTATAGAAATCACTACTTTATTATGTTTTTTTCTTCTTTTTTAAATAGGAATAGTCTTGCTTAAATGTTTTTGTACATAAAAACCCTGAAATACAAAATTGGAATAAAATAAAATAAAGTAGTCCGTTATGCCATAGAAATGCGTTTATTTTTTCACAAAAGCTAAACAAATACTTTTTGGACAAATACCGGAACGATAGTGACTTTCTTTCGGTAAGAAACATTTAACATGCTTATTATTTCATTATAACACTCATTTTTGTCCTTTCTAAAGATAGAAATATTTATCTGAGTCTGTGTATACTGAGCTTTTAAAAGAATAGGTTTTGCTGGTTTCAGGTTTTGGACAAGAAGACCATCAACGCTCATATATATCATGATGTTTATACACAGACGGTGATTCCATGCAATTTAGTCACATCAGCTACTGAACAGTTGTGTTTAGAAAATTTATTTAGAATTGCCAACATCACACATCCATTCAAAGCTGTAATTTGGCTTCAGCCATTACTGACTCCTATACAAAAACTTCTTGACCAGAATCCATTCCCATCTTTATTTATCTCTTTTAATTTGTTGTGGATTGTTAAAATAGATCCTTCTGAACAATATCCTCTTAAAATTGTTCACGATCAAATAACTGAAGTTAAAGTACAGAGCTTCAAAATGCTTAGAACGATTGGAACAGGGATCTTTCAAGAATTCTGTAAAGGTAAAAATAATGTTCATTATTCGTTCTGTTTAGATGTTTAGAACTTATAATATGTAACAAGCAGGATGTTCAGAATGCCAAAATCAAAAAATGATTCGAGAGCATATAAACTATGGTGTCATTATGATATTATATCTCTCAAGATTTGATCGTAAAGCAAGTTCTTTACAACCAATTTCAATCTTCTTGAGCTTGCTTTGTGGATTTGCCAGAATTTTCGTCAAATAATTTAACAAGGTCGTGACACTTGTAATATATATCCGGATTACGATTGTAAGACAGACATCTTAAATACTAGGCACCCATTCTCTTTAGCAAGAAGAATTTCTGTCTTGAAAAACTGTGAAGTCATAAAAGCATGAATACAATTGTTGTCGCAGTGAACTGAAAACAGACTGTGATTATTTGACATTTAAAGTTTTTTTGCTAATGGATAATAAAATAATGTATTCAAATTATTTTAGGATCGCCACTTAAAGCATGTGCAAATGGTTATCGATGCATTTACACTCGCATCTGTATTCCTTTATCACATGTTTGTGATGAGAAGATCGACTGTCCTCATAAGGACGACGAACATATGTGCGGATTTAAATGTCCGCCAAAGTGTACATGTGAGGGAACCTCTGTTAAATGTACGAACGCATCTTATAACGTCATAAAAAACTTATCGTATACAACACGTAAAGTAGATACAAGCCATTCTGTGTATAGATACCAGGTACTAGGGTACGAAAAGATTTTGCCTTTCTTGGCCATACTTGATATGTCAGATTGCAAAATTGAAGCGGTAGAAGATTTAGGGTGGTCTGTTAATATTCTGGAACTGGACATAAGTAAAAATCTCATTACAATAATAAAGAAAAATGTGTTTTCTCCTTTAAAACGATTGAAAAGGCTTAATTTAGGTGGCAATACTTATCTGACGATACTAGAGCCAAATAGTTTTAGTGGATTACAGCTGTTTGAATTAAAATTAAAACATACCAAAATAACTACACTAATAGCTCGAACATTTGCCGGACTTCAGGTGAAAACATTGGATATATCAAACAATCAGATTCAAACTATTGCCGGATACGCCTTTGAAAATCTGAAGGTAGAAAACCTTCTAATAAATGAAGTATCAATTGAAACATTTGATCGTAACATATTTTATGGAATAGAAGGTCTTGAGTTATTACAGACACCGGCTTACAGATTTTGTTGTGTTAGACCTTTTAATTTTCCAGAAGAGAAGTGTTACCCAGAAAAAGACGAATTTTCATCTTGTGCTGATCTTATTGAAAGTAGAACTCTTCAAATTCTACTGTGGGCAATGGGACTCCTCTCCATTGTTGGGAATATATTATCTTTAGTTTATCGTATTCGGTACGACAGTCAACGTCTTAAGCTCGGATATGGAATTTTTGTGACAAACTTGGCGGTAGCTGATTTTCTGATGGGTATATATCTGATGACAATTGCAGTGGCAGATATTATATTTAGAGACAGGTTTGGTTTGCTGGTTCATCGTAGATTGTTTTATTTAATTTCTTTTAGATCTTTTGACATTTTAACATTAACAATACCATTTACAGATCTTGTATTGCGACGTTTAGAAATTAATAACATTTCAATATTCTTTTAGTGTTAGGCATAACGTTTTGCAACAGACCCTTTTGATATGTTTCTATTTGCACAGTTATTTGACGTAATTTCAATTATTAAACAATTTTAAACCAAGCGTAACCAATTGAAAACCCATGAATGCCACACGTAATCACAATGATATTTGCAGTCAGAGTGACGTATTAATTTACTAACTGGTTAAGTCGGACAGAACCGCAGCTTTAATTATGTTTGTACATCATCACTTAAAGTTGAAATATTGAAAATCTTTTCATTCAGGTACATAGAATTGGACATATATTGGAGAAACAGTACGTGGTGCAAGATGGCAGGAGTGTTATCAACCATATCTTCAGAAATGAGTGTCATGATTATTTGCCTAATCACCATCGACAGAATGCTAGTCATAAAATATCCATTTGGAACACTTCGATTTAGACCATCTTCGGCTGCATTTGCAGTGTCGTGCTGTTGGATTGGATCTATATTCATTGCAGTGATACCTCTTTTAGGAATTGAATATTTCGGAAACTCGTTTTATGGAAGCTCAGCAGTTTGCCTTGCACTACCTTTAAGTCGAAGAAGAAGTGATGGGTGGCAATACTCGACCGCAGTTTTCATTGGTTTAAATTTCGTGTTGTTCATATTAATTGCTGTCGGTCAGCTATTAATATATGGCGAGATTAACAGGCAATCAGCTGTGAAGCGGAAGATGAACATTGCAAGAAGAAACGATTTGACAGTGGCGAGGAATCTTCTACTACTTGTTCTAACCGACTTCATGTGCTGGTTTCCTATTGGATGTATGGGTAATTATGTACATCTGTACTTCATACCATTACCTTAAAAACAAACATTGAACTTTACAAAAAAAATATTTTTGAAAAAAAATTAAATGTGGTATGATTAGTTTATCAAATACATAAAACGAAGAAAATGTTTAGAAGGAAGCAAGAAACAAACAAAAGAAGGGAGGAAAAAGGTTTGCTCTAATGCAAAGTTATTGTATGATAAATGTACTTATTACTATATGTAATTACCCTTACTTTTTCTTTAATTAATCTCTCAAACTATGATTTCATTATTATTAATATTATTAAACAATAGAAATGAACTAATACATGTAACATATCAAATTTTTTTATGATTGCAGGACTAATGGCTATTCGGGGTAATTATGTGCCGAGAGAAGTGTATGCATGGACAGCCATTCTTATTTTGCCAATAAATTCGGCGTTGAACCCATTCCTTTATACGTTTTCCACATTAATTACAAAAATGGTACAGAATTAATTTTTATTTTATTAGTTCTTTACAAAAATGACTTTGTTCTTGTCACCGTATTGCATATTTTTGCCCTGTTTTCACATCTTTAAAACTTTGAAACTTCAGAAGGCCGTGCGGAATTCTTAGTAGGTTAACTTATAAATAAATTTCTGTCATAGATATAAATATCTATATTCTAAACACGACAAGTAATGTCGTGATTTTGTTAATGTCTACAGATAACTAATATTTAGTTCTAGTTGTTTATTTAATCATAGAAATATCTTTGCACATCAAGCCCTAGGCAAATACAATTATACTTCTTATCCTTCTTTAGAAAGTCGTACCTGACACTGAAGAGCAGGCTAGGGGTAATCAAATAGAAGGTAACAGAAACATTTTTCTTTTGTAAATAACTTCATTCACTAAAATATGGATTAGTTACCTAAAACTTAACGCTATTTTATAAAATTATTATTTGATAGAGGACGAATTGATTTTCATTTACCACGTTATCTATACCTCCTTCATTAGAATGACTTAATTTTGCCAAGGTTGACTATGAGGATTGTATAAATGCGTTTGAAATTACATAAGGACGTGAGTACATGTATACATATGTTAACTTCGGCGAATTGTTATATGTATCATTTTATGGGGAACATATATATTTTAATGGTTCTTGATACTCCTGCAAAATTCAAAAAGTGCAATGAAAACAAAAATGTTGGCTACTTGTGTACAGAATGATTTAAAACGGCAATATTTTCCACATCTTCATTGCTGGTTTATTTTTATTTGATTAATACTCGTTACACGTGATTCATTTTTCAAAATAAAAGCAACGCTGATATTAAGTCAAGTGAACTTAAGTCTAGTTTTTTTTGTCTTCAAATCTTTATAATAAGTGAATAACTGTTGAATTCAAAATGATATGCATGACTTATCTATATGTTTCAAGAGGTTACCCAGACAGTGCTGGAGATAATATCGTACTTTAGTATGAAAGCTTACAGACAACACACTCGTGTTAGCAATCTTGGAAACTGTTTACAAGAGGAAGGAATGGAGAAGATTGACAGACTACGTTTAGTTTGTCATTTATCACGTTGTCTATTTCTCCTACATGATAATGACTTAATTTTGCCCGGGCTGACACTGGAGACCGTATTAGTTCGTTTGAAATTACATAAGAATGTGAGTACACGTATACATATTTAAACTTCAGGTAATTGTTATATGTATCAACTTTATAATAAAATGTCGTTAAGTTACAACAGTTTGACTGATATGTGCAGTGAAAATTATAGATAGAAATAATTGGAGAGGATTAAATGCAATTGTTACGAAACACGCACGCGCTTATAACATTGCACAATTTCTTTTTCCTGTGAACCCTCTGACTACCACACCATCCGTATAGCATTTGGCGATCCGACAACATGTTCCATTTCTGGTTGAGTGGTTGGTTTTTCATATTTGGCAGTATTTTGTACCGGTCAGCACTCGGACAAAGCTGGCCACCAGTGTCAGAAACATAAACATATATTTCATAGGGATGATATTATCAGTCATATTTTGTCTTTATATGATATCAACGAGCTCCGATACGTTTGGCTTTCTGAGTTCGCTTTTCTAAAATTACCCGTTGACATTGAGTCTATTAACGCATGAATGTACAAATAATATAAGCCATTGTTAACATTTGAGCATTACCACTAAATATATAAGATGTATATGCCCCCACAGAGTGGGAGCATATAGCGTTGCACTTGTCCGTCCGAGTGTCCGTACGTCTGTCTGTCCGCACTCACAGGAGAGTAATTATGTGGCTAGAGCGACAATAGGTAACTGTTCTTTCTCTTTGATGTCATTCATTCCGTAATGCTTTTATGTGGCTATTTTCTTTTGTGTGGCTAAAAAGAACAATAGAGAGAACAATAGAGTAGCCACATAATTACTGTCCTGTGAAAACGTCCGTCTGTCCGTACGTCCCGAAATCTTGTGAACGCAACTCCTCTTAAACCGGATGGCAGATTTTGCTTAAACTTCCAGGGATGAACAACCTTAATGTGTAGATGGTAGTAAAGGAAGGAATTTTTGCTGCGACCAAATTTAACAGAATTATGGCCCTTTGTTGATTTTTTCACTATATACTATGTAGAAATTTTGTGAACGCAACTCCTCTTAAACCGGATGGCAGATTTTATTTAAACTTCCAGGGATGAGCAACCTTAATGTGTAGATGGTAGTAAAGGAAGGAATTTTTGCTGCGACCAAATTTAAGAGAATTATGGCCCTTTGTTGATTTTTTCACTATATACTATGTAGAAATTTTGTGAACGCAACTCCTCTTAAACCGGATGGCAGATTTTGCTTAAACTTCCAGGGATGAACAACCTTAATGTGTAGATGGTAGTAAAGGAAGGAATTTTTGCTGCGACCAAATTTAACAGAATTATGGCCCTTTGTTGATTTTTTCACTATATACTATGTAGAAATTTTGTGAACGCAACTCCTCTTAAACCGGATGGCAGATTTTGCTTAAACTTCCAGGGATGAACAACCTTAATGTGTAGATGGTAGTAAAGGAAGGAATTTTTGCTGCGACCAAATTTAACAGAATTGTGGCCCTTTGTTTTTTTTTAGTTTTCAACTTGTGGCACATGTAGTCCAAAAAATATTTGACCTAGAGTCAAAAGATTGACAGAACAGTGGCGTGTGGGGGCATCCGTGTCCTATGGACACATTTCTAGTTTGTGATGTAAAATATTGACATGCATTCATACATTATATACCCAGAATAGATAAAACATTAGAATACATATTTTGCTTATGTTGGATTATAAACGACTGTGCTCGAATTAAAAATAACAATTTTAAATATCCCAGTTTTTATTTTCAGAAAATTTCCCGGATACAACTCGAACAGCCAATTGTGTGCAAAACCAAAATGAAACGTGCAGAAAATATGTATCAGCTCGCGACATTAATTACAAAACTTTTTCCGGAGTTGTAAATATCCACCCTAGAACAGCTTAAAACGAGTTCCCTGAGCAATGTGGTGTGGGTGCTCCTCTACAATTTTTTTTATAATTTTGTTGTTGTTGTAAAACTTTTTTGTTTATTGTCTTTGATTTATAAACCTTTTTTAACATATTAATTTAAACTGATTGCCAGTGTAAAGCTTATTTGAAATGTTTTTAAACCTTACATTCTAGTTTAACTTACTCGTGGTTCTTCTTTATGTGTATGTAGTTGTCTTGATTTAAATATATGAAAACAATTTGGTTGTGATTTATATTGTTAAATGTTGGTTCTTTTAAAGTTATAATTAATAGATTGATACTTACAATTATTTGTTGTACCTTAAGACAATCTAAAAAATATGCCTGTAGCATTGTTTCTCTTTACTTTAATGCAAGCAATTATTAATCACTTCATTCCTTATTAGATGAGGATTGTCTGTGCATACTTTATTTATCTTGTCTTATTTGTATTATGTGTCTTCGACATAAGCGAGCGCTTAAGTTGAACATAAACGTAAGTCTATGTGTCTTCGACAAAATCAAGCGCTTAAGTTGTACATCAACGTAAGTCTATGTGTCTTCGACAAAATCAAGCGCTTAAGTTGTACATCAACGTAAGTCTATGTGTCTTCGACAAAATCAAGCGCTTAAGTTGTACATCAACGTAAGTCTATGTGTCTTCGACAAAATCAAGCGCTTAAGTTGTACATCAACGTAAGTCTATGTGTCTTCGACAAAATCAAGCGCTTTTGTTGTACATCAACGTAAGTCTATGTGTCTTCAAGATAATCATCATACTTGTTCTGCGTTTCCTCAACAAAATCATAGCGACTTAATGGTGCCATGGCCGGCGCTCAATCTCAAAAACATTCTTTCATGCTGAACCTGGTCACTTTCAAGTTATATTAGCCACCAAGACGATCAATAAGTTCAGCATGAAAATCATAATTAAATACAGGTATGTAGAATATAATATACAATACACTTTTAAGTAAACTCAATGTAGCATGCAAAAATTATTCCCTTGAAATAGATATATTTTATGTCTTAAATTGGTATGACTTTGTTCAAAGAAATTAGCAACCGAACCTTACTTAAACAAAACCCAGTGCGTGTATCATTTACTTAAAAAAATACTTTTTCAAGAAAAAAAGAAAAAAGATCAACAGTGCAAGGCGACGTCCATGGATCACATAATCGCTCAAAGAAATCTACATATTGAGGAGCCGCGTAAAGTCGTGAAGAAATATAGCGTACCACAAAGACAAGATATGGCAGTATGAATCAAAATGGAACATACAGTTATATCTGGAAAATATGTAAATGAACAATTATTGATTTCTTGGAGCGATTATGTGATCCATGGACGTCTTCTTGCCCTGTTAATCTTTGTTCTTTTTTCTCTCTTGAAAATAAGCACATCAATATAAAACGCAACAATGAATGTAGTATTAACGTACAAAGATGATTTATTACAATGGTTTATCAAAACTGTTTGTCTCAAGAACATGAAATATATTTTCATAAAACAAACTGAAGATAATGTATATATAGCATTTTATTATAAGCCCTTAGCCTGTTGGCGTCGACTGAAATAAGCCAAGATCAGCCGGCAGTGGTAGCCTGATAATGGTTTGCACTGCCCGCTATTCAGTCAGTATATATTTTGAAAAATTCCCATAAAATGATGGATGGTTTTCTGCTTTTATTTAAGGAAACATACATATCGGCAATTTTGTGGTTTTTTTTTAGACGGGATGTCATAACTGTGCTGTTTTATCCGGTTCGCCCGTTGTGTGTTATTTTTATGACATGAAATTGGAAATTGAAAAAGAGAGAGAAATGGTTCCGAAAGAAGCCTTTGTATTTCCAAAAGCTTGATTTGCAGAGAGTTCCCTATTTGTCAGCAAGACGCCGGTCAGAGCTCATGTGAGGAAACTGAGTAACGCAGGAAACATAGGAAACGGTCTGCTTCCCAGGAAAGAAGTTTGACTTAGAGAAGTCGTCTTCCAAAGAAAGAAGCAACTTATAGTGAGGTCCGCTTCCCACGAAAAACACATCTGTGGATGTTTTTAAATTCAAAATTTCACCATTTTAGTGTTTAAATGTTGAATTCTGCTAAAGCCGGTGCTATGGGGCGTGGACGGTAACTTGCACTTTCCAGTACCGTCCATGAACAGGCTCAATCAAACCGAGCCTGCAACATTTTCAATTTTGTCGTGTTTGGCTTTCTTCAGGGATTCTGTATTTCTCTATTTTAGAAAAGTCCGCTTCTAGGGAAGGAAGTAAGTCTCATAAAGACTTGCTTTCCAGAAAGACTGCACATCTATGAGAACCTATGTGAGAACAATAAATATCTTTGAAACATATCGCTTGAAGCCTATAGGTTCAATATTGTATAGAAAACATTCAAACACAAAACACGTAGTATTCTTAAAACAACAAGCTCAAAACAATTGAACATTCTTAATAATGGCAAGCATTATAAGCCTATCATGGCATAAACAATTCAAAGAATTGTAAAAAAAAACCTTATAGAACGCCATATGATCAGACGAAATTGAAAGTGTTGCGGGCTCGGTATTATAAGGCTGTTAATTGACAGTATAGTGGTAAATGCAAGCTATCGTTCACTCCCTAGCACCGGCTAAAACAGAATTCAACATTTAAACATTAAATGGCTAGATTTTGAATTAAGAACACAATCGTAAATGTGTGCATATGGCAGTGATAATAGAATTTCCAATGTGACATGTACGTGCCATTTCATACAAAGCGGCGTATGGTCACAAAGTAAAAGAATGAGTTTGCTCTAAAAGAGAAAACGATGGGTGGACCTAAATGAAATGGAATTTTGAAAGGGAATTAAAAGTTATAAAGCCTGCACATTAATAATTAGACGTCAAAAGAAAAATTAAAGTAATTAAACAGTATTTAAAAATAAATACTAGAGCCATCCAACAAGAAAACATGTCAAATAAAAGGAACTAAAAAATACAAGCACAATTGCTGAACAACGTGCTGAACGAAATTCCAGGATCAGAACTTTAATATATCTGACTGTATTTGGGGGATGACTTTATATGGCCTCTGCACGGCACAAACGCCTCTAATGTGATATAATGGTAAAAAAATGGATATCTTAAACAACGCCCAAAACGTACACTTCTCTCTGATAAATGATAAACGTATACTTCTCTCTGATAAATGATAAACGTATACTTCTCTCTGATAAATGATAAAAATATAATTTCTCACAGTGGTATCTCAAGCTCATATAAATTTAACTACTGTTTAAAAAAAAAGTCACAAAATGCCTTACGCAGCCTTTTTATGAGCTTCCGCAGAAAAAAAACTTGTACTTAACAAAAAGTCAACAAATAATCTTATCAATTATTTTAACATAAGTTTAGCATAATAAATTAGCATTATACAATTCTCCTTTCTTTTACATAAAACAATATGGCATAAACTTAAATTAGCAACAGAAACCCTTACTTTATCAAACATGTGACACCGCCATTTTACAAAGTAATTTGAAGAATTAAAAAAACTATGGATATATATTTAAGACATATTTATGAAAGATAAAAAATCATATACTTGTTTATCAGTAACGTCATGTGATAGAGTGGAAATACAGCAATTTGTATATCACCAGACAATTGTGTATCAAGAAGGTCTACAAATTACTATATTCGGGTACATTAAGAAATCAATTTAAACATAATTATCAACATAAAAATAGTGAAAGATAAGTATGACATTTCCATAAAACACATTCAGAATCAACTATAAATAAATAAATAAATAAATAAATTAGTTTAAGCCTTCTTTAAATAGCTGAAGACAAAGTGATCCCGCGGAAGCATTAAGAACAGCAAAATAACATGAAAATTGCAGACTCGTAACATGAATATTGAATGTTTGTTTGTTTGTTTGTTTGATTGATTGATTGATTGATTGATTGATTGGGTTTTACGTCACATCGACACAGTATAGGTCATATCGCGACGTTCCAGCTTAACTGGTGGAGGAATACCTCAGGCACGAACGGGCACCTGAGAAGAACCACCAAAGTTCCGTAAGCTAGCTGGATAGCTTCCTCACATGAAAGAATCCAAGTCCCTGTCGGGATTCGAACCCACCGCGGTGACGCCCCAATATTGTATGTAAACACGGTACATGAATATTCAAAGTTACATGAATATTGAATATGTCCTGAGATTTTATATTTCTTGTATGATATTATGCTATATACATGCAACTTTACTACGAAAGGCCGGTAGGGCTATTTCAACTTCACGAATTCTCGATTTCATCTTCATGAATTCACAATTCCAACTTCCTGAATTCCCGTTTTCAACATGCGGAATTCACGAATTCCCGATTTCAACTTCATGAATTCCCGATTTAAACTTCAAGAATTCCCGATTTCAACTTCACAAATTCACGATTTCAATTTCGTGAATTCACAGTTTGAACTTCTCGAATTAACGATTTCAACTTCACGAATTAACGTGAAATCGTGAATTCATGAAGTTGAAATCGTGAAGTTCAAATCGTGAATTCGTGAAGTTCAAATCGTGAATTCATATACAATATCACATCATTATTATCATAGAAATAAACAACAACAAAAAGAAGAAAGAAGAAAGAAATGAAGAACAACAACAACAAATAGACAGCACATAATGAAAATCTAATTATGAATGACTATTGAGAAACAACAGCATTTGGACAAAGGGGCGTAATCTTATTATTTTTAAGTAAAGTAGTTGTTTCCCTTTAATAAGTTTAATAGTAATTTACATGTTGTGTGCGATTAATAACTGACTTTGGCATGTTTATTAAATGACTTTTTGCATAATTCAATGGTCTCTTTTTGGTAATTTAAGTGCCGTTTGCGATGTGTAAATTACTTTTTTCACTTCATAATAGATCTAGTTTACGTAGAAACTTAGAAAATACATTGTCAAAAATTTAAAAAAAATAGCACCGCATCAATTTTGAGGGGTGCTCTTCAACGAACTTTAAGAAAAATCAAAACTAACCCTAGCTCGGTCATTATGACTTTTCAAAATCCAAGCAATACTAGCGACTTTTATATTTCATAATGTAAATAGAAGCAGAGACGTTAAATTCTGATAGAAGATAACAATTTTTGAATGTACCTGTAGTCAATGAATTCCCGCGCTAATACTAGCCACGCCCACTGATAGTGTGTGTAAACACCACGTGATGTCAATCAAAAACAAAACTGTGTTGCGTTACGCGACATTTCGGACATGTCAACCTGTGAATCGGACTCG